TTTCGGAGCCCATCCCGCCTTGATTCCAAAACCCGCCATCAAATAACCCTTTCGGTTTTCTTTCCAACTCCATTCCGCCATCACTCCCACCTCTGCAAATCTCAAGCAGCGCCCCTGTGACCCCACCTCTTTCTTCCCCAACTTCAAAGTTTCCGAAAAAGAACAATCTTGATTGGAAGATTTCACCAAACAATACACTTCCACCTTCAGTCTGCCAGTTTTTGCATCATCRGTGCCCACTAGCCCGAACAGGCACCARCGGTTCAKGCCTKYTACTATACYAGAGTGCGATGAGCCTGATTGGTGCACCACTGGTTCCTTCCAACGGCTGAGGTTCCAAGATTGTGATCCAATGATGGTGAACCCCAATTCTCCGACATTTAACCTGGTSAACCCAAATGCTCGAGTGGTTGCTACCAATGATCCGATCCGAGAGAAGGGGAAAGGGGTGAAGGCGTGGAAAGGTGAGCGGTTTCATGATGTTGGTTTCGATGATCTTGAACTCACCCTTGGAAGCGGGACCGCTAAAATATAAGCGTACATATATTGATTGATGCTGGAATTCTCAAGATTTGAAGATTTAGAGGTTAGAATATGTATCGAATTCTTTTGAAGTGACCAGTGATCTTAAAKATTCGATCTTGATTTTGGTTCTTGGTTCATCATTTTAGTGAATAGAAACCCATGTTTATGATTCATGTGGATATTGGTATGGTGAAGAAGCTTGATCATGTCTCTTGTAGAATCTGGGTTTCATCTCAAAGTTGGAAGCAATTGGCATTGAGATGAATCCTTGGTGAATCTTTTATGATGTTATGAATCAAATGAAAATTATTTGATATGAAACTTGCACTTTTGCTTGATTTTTTAGTAAATGTTTAATTTATAAAATTTTTAATAATATAATTAGTTTTATCTATATATTATATTATTATTATTATTATTATTTTATTATTATTACTACTTTATAAATGAGATTTGGTAAAAGTCTTAAAAACAAGTTTTGATGCTTAAGGTACTRTCTTTTTATGCATTGAGTCTTAAAGTCTTAAAAATGTACAACCTCTAATGCATTTAGTACAACTCTATAAAGCATACTTTGGTATTAAAAGCCCTTTTTTCCSTGCACCAATAGAGCAGATCTYTTTMAGAWKGTTAACTTGTTTTACTCCATGTTTGTAGTTGTCGTTATGTTTATATTAGTGGGTAATTGAGGTTTTTTCTAAGTGGTGTCATTTGCAGGGTTCAGTTGAAACGGTCAACGCAACAGAGTTYTGGTTAATATATTTGGTTGCAAGGCTAGGTTAATATGGAGTTCAGAGCACTTGGTTAATACTTSTTGTAATCTTGATTCAAGTATCGAAGCAAGAGAAACTACACTAATGATATGTGCAAGGCATAAACATGTTGAGTGTCTTAAGCTTCATGTTGCTACCAATTTGGGTTTGATAGGCATAACAATGTTGTCTTTTGTAATTTTAAAATTTATTTATGGTGTAACTATATTATTAATTTTCTGGTTGGTTGGTTTGTAGTTTGACGAAAGAATTCAACTCTATCATCGTTAAATCTTATTTTATAAAACCAGCGGAACTTCAAAATCGTTAAAATTCATGGCTCCTGCCGCATTGCGCGGGTACACAACTAGTATATATATAAATCAAATTATTTTACTTTTTTAATTTATGTTATATCAATCTCTTCCTTTCCCTCTCCATAATTTAAAAGTGACGATAAATAATATTAATGGATCAATATTTATTAAGGGGGTTGATATTGATACCCTGGCATACCTTTCTACCCCTGCACCTTATCCCCCACCTTACATTTTTTTTCATACTCACATGATTTGCACACTCACACACTCACACGATTTTAATATAAAAAAATTAAATTTACACTTTATACCCTTATAATTAGTTAATTAATTTACTTTATACCCTTTCCTTTTAAAATTTTCATTTTATACCCTGATCAAATTAACATACATAATCGTATATCAATTAAAATATGTTAAAAAAATACGTTTTAATTTTAACAAGTTACACCATTATAATCGTTACGTCAATACCTTCGAAATAAGCCCAATATTGAATAT